GGCCGCCAGAGGCCGGCTTCGCGGGCCGGCGGCGCCCTCTGGCGGCCTGCGGGTGCAGTCGCCGCAGCCTGCTGTGTCCCCAGCTCCGCGGCGCGCGATTACCTGCTCGCTGCCGGCCTGCCTTCTCGCTCCCTTAGCCTCTGCTGCTGCCCCCACTTATCCGCCTCGTGGTGGCTAGCAAGACCATCCCTTCACAAGGCGGCAGCCGTTCGTTCGTTGCCCCTTGCTCAGAACGCTCCCTGGCGCCCCGTAGCGCTTACCCGCCTGACCCAGGTGTGCCAGGTCCTTTTCCAACCGGTCAGCCCACCCTCAGAACGTCTAGGGCACCCGCCTTTGGGCTTCCTCTGCTCCTGGCATCTTCACCCCGTCGGTTCCTGGCCGCTGTCGCCTCCACTTCCCCCAGCTTCACAGTGGAGACTAAACGTTGACTTGGGTTATTACCGCGGTGGTCACTTCCCCTGCTTCCCGGGGTAGGGCAGCTCCGTGCCGGTTGCTTGCGCCCAGTCCCGAGCCCAGGTCCACCTGAGTTTGAGCCCAAAGACAGGGCCAGGGTAAGGAGAGGTAGGAGCCGGGTACTGCTTGAAGGAGTTTTCAGGAAGCTTGCTCAGCGTTCTGGAAGTCCAGCTCTGTCAGTGCTCAGGATCGAACCCCTCCAAACTCACGCAGAAGATGCCAAGCCGGCGGTGGCTTCCTGAGGACCCCGTTGGCCAAGAGTGGGATTGGCAGCTCTTTCTGTCACCTGCACGGGATGCCCAGGGTTGAAGTCTTCCCTCACCGGGCTTCTCACATTCAAACCTTCCTGCTGCGCTCCAGCTTTTCTGGACCTCCTTGGAGCCTCACGATCTAGAGCCACAGCTGACCATCCCAGCCACCTGGCCACAGCTTGTCAGGCGCGTGGCCACACAGCCCACAGTGTGACCTTGATCGCCAGGAGGCAGCAGAGGCTACCTTTTACAGCTCTGGGGATTAGATGCCTCTAATCCTGTCCAGGTCCCCCGGTGCGTGGCACAGCAGGTTTGCAGACTTGTGTGGTTTTGAAAGCAGTTTTGTTCTTTCAGATTTTTGCCAGGGACACTTTCTTTTTTTGAGTAACCTTCACTTAATTATTACTGCTCCAAGTCTTTTGGAAGTTAGTTGCTGGATGACTTGAAACTGAGGTCAAGACAGACGTCGGATGAATTCCCACAGGTCCCTCCATCTGCTCCTCTGTCCCTGGCTGCATCTTGGACCCACAATGTTCCTAGCTACCAGCACTTGGCCAGTCCAGCAGTGGCCACCCTGCATACTCTCTGAAGCCTACTGTCTCTGCTCAGCTCTCCGGAACCCTGACACAGAGGCCCCTCCAACCCACCATCCTACCAGCTTCCTCCAGTCTCTTACCCTCAATAGTTTCCACTTCCTGCTCTTCCTTAAAAACCTCTATTGGGGGCCTCCCTGGTGGTGCAAGGGGTTAAAGTGCAGCCACTGCAGCACGAGTTCTAGTCCCGGCCAGGGAGCTGACCCACGTGGCACAGCAGGACTCTCCTGTCTCACGCGCTGCTCCCCTCAGCACTGTATTTCTGTCAGTCTGCCTGTTCTGCTCCCCGCTCTGTCTCTGGTGAATCCTCTCATCCCCTGCATTTCTAGCCTGTACCCCAGTTCTTGTAGAAATAAATCTTTAAAAAAATATACCTCTACTGGATTTGCTCCTCTCTCTGCACACAAGTTGTCTACACTTGTTCTTTCCTGTTCCTTTCTCTCCTCTACCCAGTCCTTCCTCATCTGCAAGACAGTCCTGGTCAGCTGTAGTCTGTTCTCTGCTCTGCTCTCACCTCCTCAAGCAGCTGGGCTTGTCTGGCTCGGGGTGGCCAGGCTCTCCTGGATTTCTTCCCTTCTTGTGCTGTTCCCACTCAGCAACTTTGCTGGTCTGCCTCAGATCTCCTGCTTTCTAGCAGGAATGTTTCAGGGTGCCATCCTGACTCTTCCCCTTCTCGATGTGTTTTCTGTATCTCATCTAGGAACCTAGCTTTAAAGAGCACCCACTTGGGCCTCCCTGGTGGTTAAAGTGCAACATTATGAGGCTATCCACAGCTGCTGCAGTACATTCAATCCCGGCCAGGGAGGTGACCCGCATGGCGCAGCAGACCTCTCCTGACAGTCCATCTGCCTGTTCTGCTCCCTACTCTGTCTCTGGTGAGTCCTCTCACCCCCCCCGCACCTCTGACCTGCTCCCCCACTTTTGTATGAATAAAAAAATAAAAGAGCACCACTCTCTTGACCTTCCAGTCTCACACTCCAGTGCTGGCCACCCCACTGAAAAGGCACACACCCAGCAGCCACTGGACATCTCCATTCTGATGTTTAGGATTTTAAACTCTTCGTGAGGGAGATGACCTCCCTCCCAGGTCTGCTCAGCGACCCAGAGGCAGCTTGTTCCTCGCCTTGGAGTCCCTGCCTCTCCCGTCCCCAAACCATCGGAACACCCGTCCACCTCCAGGACAATGCTGCTGCGCCGTTACTCGGGCGGAGCCACCTGACATGTCTTTCTTAGAACAGTTGCAATAGCCCTGGAAGCAGGGTCACCTTTGGTCCCCACTCCAGAGTTTAGTCTCAGTACCACAGCCAGAATAATTTACAGCGTGCTAGTACTGATTCTGCCCCTTCTCTTTAGGACATGGCAGTGGCTCTCATCCAGAGAAAGAGCCAAAGTCCATACGGTAGCTGACACCTCTTCCTCCTATTCACCCACTAGCCCTTCTGCCTCCTCCCGCTTCACGCAACACCAGCCACCACGCCTTCCTGCGCCTCTTCTCACATTCTGCCTCAGGGGTTTGCACCGACTGATCCCTGTGACTGGAATGTTCCCTAGACATAGTCCCATGACTCCCTCCTTCTCCAATCTCTGATCAAATGTCCCTTTCTCCGTGAAGTCCATCCACCTTGACCAACCTCCCAAACTCCTGTTCTCCAGCAGCTGTGGCTTGCCCACAGAGCTGAGCATTTTCTAGCAAACGCCACAAGCTTCTTGATTACATTTCATGTTTCTGGTGAATCCAAACCCCACCCCCGGCAGAATATAAGTTCAGGGAGGGCAGGGGTCCTCACTTTCTTCACTGCAGGTGCAGAAAGAGCGTCTGGCACGTAGACAATCTTACTAACTTCTTGCTGAGTGGGTGAACGAGTCATTTTTCAGCTGATCGGCAAATGCGTGCAGGTGAACACAGGTGAGGACTGTGTGGCAGTCCCTTGCCTGGCCTATATTATCTTATTATCTTTTCTGTCACAGCAGTCATGGGAGAAGAGATATAGACCACCTCTGGGCTGGATTTTCTGGTCACTCCATCTTGCCAATATTCTCGGAAGAGCAATTTTTTTTTTTCAGAGCAATTAAAAAAAATAAAACCTGGAAAATTCTTTAAAACCTACACAAAATGCTTAAATATGACTTAAGCAACCCTTTCTTATGGAGGATGACATAGAACTTGACAACCAGGAACAAAGGATACCCATGGCCAAGCATGCGGACACTTGGCTATCAGATGTAGTGTGGCGACCTCATTGCTGGTCCCCTGGTCCCTGGGTCCTCTGGTCAGACTGGAGGACACCTCGCTGGGAAGGCAGAGGTGGCCTCCTGGGGTAGGACCCTTCCTTTACCCCAGCTGGGAATGGGGTGCAGAGAGGGCAGGGGGAGCTACCATCGGGACATCCCCTGGTGTGAGAGGCCAAGTTGGACCAAGGTCTGAAGAGACTGTGGGGAGTCACGCTGCTGCTCGACCTGTAGCCTGCTTTGGATGAAGGGCGTGTGAAAAAAGACCCCTTACTGCCCTCTACTCCTCAGGGCCAAGAGTCCCAGGCAGGGGCCGCCCCATCTGCTGAGGGATAAGCCAGAGACCCCACAGAGCAGCTCCTTGCGCCGGGGCTCTCTGGGCTGCAGCCACCTCTAGGCCAACGTCCAGCTCTTTTTGTGGGGCCACGGGGCTCCCGGGTGAGTCCCCAGGCTGGAGTCAGGCGCCTGGGGCTGATGGGAACTCGACTCAGGAAGCCCCCCTCTGACTAGCTGGCACCGCCAGAGACCTAGCAGCCACCAGCTTGAGGAAGTTCTTTCTTCAGGGGTTTCCCAAGCTGGCAGCTGCCTTGCAAGTTCAAACTGGATTTTTCCTGCTGCCCTTTCCCCGGCGGCCTGCCTGGGCAGGGTCTCTCCTAATGAGGGTTTGGTGCCAACCCCTAGGCAGCTCCCTGCCGCTGGGTCCCAGCTGGTTCAGGTCTGCCCCAGGCAATGGGCGGCTTCATAGCTTCCGAGGCCCAGCCAGGCCAAGGCGCCCCGGGCTGCCCTGCCTCCTTGCAGCCCTTCTGCTGCCTCGGACACCCTCACTTACAGCCCACAGCCCCACATGCAGGGGCTCACTAACCCACCTTTATGTGCAGTGCCTTTTACTACTAACAAAAGCTTAGCCTGATAGGACCCAGGTTCCAGGGACTTTTGTTCCCAGACTCAAGGCATTGACAGAGGGTTGACATGGCAGCCAGGGGAGGGCAGGGGGCCCTTGTGCAGGGCTTCAGCAGGGCAAAACTGCCCCCAGATCAGACCCCCCTCCGGAGCTGCTGGGGATGCACCTCACGTTGCCCCCTTCCGGAGGCCTCTCTGTCCCATTTCCTGGGGCCTCATTAATTCCTCCCCACCTCACCCCGTGAGAAAGCAGGTCTGTGCTATTCCTGGCCCAGGCCCAGAGCCGGGCCTGAGCATGCCACTGGTTGGTTTAGGAGGCAGGGGTGAGTGGGGTAGGGGACTCACCCTGTCTCTACCCTCATCTCAGGGAAAGAAGCTGGAGGAGCTTCCATCACCACTCACGTCCTGTCCCCACCCCACTTTTCAGGAACCCAGGGGCCATAGCAATCAAGAATATAAAACGTAACTGGTCTTATGTATAATATTTATAAAAGGGGGCTGCCAGTCTCTCCACCCCTGCCCCAGGCTGGCCCCTGGGGGTTTGGTTCCCAGGGGCAGAGAAACTATGGGCCCCAGCCTGTCTCTTCTCCTGGTAGTGGAATGTGAGTGATGGCCCAGGCTTGAGGCAGGGGGAGGCCCAGCCTCCCCAGGACTGGTTACAAAGGTAGGGCACGGGGCTCTCGGTGCTGACACCATTCAGCCTCAGTAGACTTGCTGGTGCCAGGTACAGGGTGGGGGCGGCTGCTCCTGGTAGAGGAGCTAGGAGAAGGGAACAGAGTATCCAAGGGTTGAACCGAAGCGTCTGGAAGGGGTGTCGGGGACAGAAGGAAGGAAGCTAAGTGGACTGAGGGCACTGACTGTGGCCCAGCAGCAGGGCAGAGGATGGCTGCAGGCCTGGGCTCCGGCTCTAAGTGCCCCTACAGGCTGTGTGACTTCAGAAGGCAGCTGCTAGGCCCAGTGTATGCATTTTTGCAAAGAGGTGAAGGGGCTGGGTGGGCGCTGAGCAAAAGCAGGGAGCAGAGGGGGCAGCCTCTCCCTGCTCCCAGCTTAGGAAGCCCCTTGCACTGGGAGCCCAGCAGAGCAGTGGCCCAAGGGCCTTGGTCCTGGCTCTCTAATAAAAGCCTTCTTTAGAGAAGGCGTGGGGCAGGGCCAGATGCCATAGTGTTAACCACGTCTTCCTCCTCCCCCCAGACTGGCCGCTGGATGGGAGCAGAGACTGAGGAGTCTGGGCAAGGGCGCGAGGACGAGCAGACAGCACAGGATGGGGGGGCCCTAGTGGCTTCCTCCTTGCCGGCCGGTGCCAGAGACCCAGTCAGTGATGATGAAGCTCAAGCTCATGGTCATCAGCAAGAGGCCAAACACAGCAAAGCAAAGGGCCTGTGGGGTTGGAAGGCAGGGTCAGGTCTGATGTCAGGACAGCCCCCTTAGCCCCACACCAGCCCACCAACCTCCGGGTCCCTCGCACCAGGATTTTAGGAGTGGACTTTGCAGGCTCCTTCTCCTTGGGCACAATGCGGAAGTAAAAGATGGCGGGGAAGATGAAGATGAGGCACGGGGCAGACGTGGCACCTGCAACAAACAGGCGGTGACTGCCGGCTCGCGCGCCTTTGGCTGAGCTCCCAGGGTGGGATCGTCCCTGAGCGCAGACATTCTTTCATGCGGGAGTCTCATCTGATTCTGGGGAGCCCACCTGCCCCTTGTTTTCTGTCAGCAGGATGGGAGGCTGGCGTTATTGGTGTCACAAGTATCTGTCAGTGAATGAAGCCACAGAAAGGCAAACCAAGAACTAGAGAACTGAGGATGGCTCCTGGATACAGCTTTTCCTGAAGGCGTATCCATCATTTTCTAATTTTCTGTTTCACTCATTTTGAGCCATTTTGGGCCTATGCAACAAAGGTCCAGTCTATGATAAGCATAACTGTCCTTGCACTGTTGCACATTGCACTGACTGTGGGGAGTCAGTCTCTTGAGCTGGGTCCCCCAAAGATGTCTTTCAATTGTCTGATCTTCCAGCTCAGAGCCCCAACTGGGAAGGGTAGTCGACAAGGCATTAAATCTATAGTCCTGTGTTTCTGGGGTTGAACAAAGAAGTTTCCACTACAGCTGGATGGCCCTTCCACTCACTTAATCACGCTGTCCTTCTATGCGAAACGGGGACAAGATCCACAGAGAATTTTGTGGAGACCCTGATGCTTGGGGTCCACCCCACCCTTATGAGGGGAACTGAGTCAATAGTGGTGAACTCGCAGAAGAGATCAGAACAGACCTGAGGGGCAAAATCGCAGAGAGGAGCGCAAGCCGTGTGACTATCAGCCATCACTTAAATGTGGGGTATGTGCTCAGGAACCTGCCAGGATTTGTAGAAGGAAACCAATTTGGAGGACTATCCACCTCCAATCACAGCACACCAGACCCTCACCGATGACGCCGAAGATGCCCAAGATGTTGGGGGCAAAGATGACCAGCAGGTTGATCCCAGTGAGCAGCCCGGTGGCAATGAGAGCGTGCCGCAGCCAGCTGAACTCCTGGTTCTGAAACAGCATCTGCTGAATGGCGCGGCGCACCTGAGGGCCGGGTGGAGGGTCAGCCATGGGTCAGCGCCACCAGTGGCCCCCCACCCCGTTGGCCCAGCCACCCATCCTCTGGCTCACCGGAAACAGAACGATGGGCACCGTGAGCGTGACGGCCGTCAGCACAGCCACACGCACACACAGGATCAGCACATCAAATGGGTCCACCTTGCTGTAGGTGTGCAGCAGCTCTGACTCCACCCCGTCTGTGGTGGGCGGGGAGGGTGGTCAGCGGGCGGCCCGGGGAGGGGCTGGGCTCTGAGCCTGGGTGGCCCTGACACTGTGGGGGGTAGCAGCGGACTCACCTCCACAGCTGCAGGGCACGTTAGGCATCACACATCTAGTGAGCGCCTAGAGTGTGCAGGGTGCCGTGGCCACTGGCCAGCCCCTCGCCTCCCAGCCTGGCCTCTGTCTCTGCCCCCACGGCCCAGCCATACCGTAGAAGGTGAGGTAGCCGAAGAGGGCAGCCAGGAAGTACATGACGTACATGACGGCGATGGATATGTTGGAGATTTGCTGCATCTTCCTCTTGGAGGGGCTGGGGGTAGAAAGGGAGGGGGCTGGTGTCCAGCTGAACCAGGCTGGGAGACCCCCCCAGGCAACCCCGGGTCTCTCTGGCACCATACCCTCGCAATCTGGCAGCTGGGGGAGCCTCCTTATTTCCAATCCCCCATCACGGCAGCGACGGAGATCACTGATACCGTCACTCCCTCCCCCTCGTCAAGGCTACATCTATCCCCAAACTAGCTCAGGGCAGCCCCTGCCCCCTCCCGCTTCCAACACCTACTCCTTGAGTTCGGTATAGATGGGCAGCACCTCAGGGTGGCAGACGAAGGCGAAGGCCATGATGGGGATGGTGTATGCCGTCTGCCAAAAGAAGGGGACTGTGTGAGGCAGCCCCCCATGCTCGGCAGGGCCCTGGCCCCCCCGGCCCTGGGTTCTTCCTGGTCCAGAAACTCCTCCTGGTCAGAACCTGTGTGTTGAGTCTGAAGTAGCTCGGGGTGCAGAAGGCTGTGGCCTTGGCCTCGTCCTGCAGTCGCGCCTCCTCCTTAAAGACCTCCAAGTGGCTGAAGTTGCCCGTGACATTGGCAGAGGGGAAGGGCAGTGGGCAGGGCACGTGGAACTTTTTGTAGATAACCTGGGTCGGGGCAGGTAAGGATGAGGGTGTCAGAGACAGGCTAGGCTGCCGGGGAAGTCCCTCTGAAGCCACAGCAGGCTCAGGACTGGAGGAGCTGCCTTCTGACCCAGGCTGCCTCCCCTCTGATCAAGGACTCCCCTGGCAGACCTGCCCCCACCCCCACCAGCATGGAGGGCAACTCACTGCAATTAGGAAGAACACCATACAGCTGAGAGAGAAGCCGCTGGAGTAACCCAGGTAGCCTGCAAAGCCGGGCAGGTGTGAGACAGGGCTCCCTGCTCAGGCAGCCTCCAGCGGCCCCTCCGAGGCCCTGGCCCTGGCTGTACTCACCGAGCTGCCGCATCAGTGCCAGGGGTAGAATGACAGTGACAGAGACCAGGATCACCAGGTAGTTCCCATTCATGTACCAGTCCCTGCGGGGCCAGGAGTGGCAGCGGGGGTCAGAGCCACCCCCGCCTGTAAGCCCAGTAGGGGTCACCAGCCATGCCACTGAGTGACCTCTGAAGGACGCTTCCCAGCTCGAGTGCCCTTCCCCGCCGAGAGCTGGCACGCTCTAGCCACTCTGCCACGTGAGGGGAAGGCAGAGGTGCTCAGCTCTGGCCTGCTGCTGCCACTGTGGTTTTTCCGGGGATACACAGGTCCGAGCACAGCGATCTCAGGGAGTGACCTCAGGGGCTCAGGGAATGAGAGGGTGGGGCGAAAGGCCTGGCTCTGGGGTGTAGGGAGATGTTCCAGGGGGCCTCAGAGACCTGCCAACAAACGGTGCCCCTGTGGTCCCTCCTGGCCTCTGCATCTTGCATCTTTCTGATCCCCCCAGGGGTGGGGGAGGCAGAGAACCAAATGGATAAGGAGTGGGACCCTCCTTCAAGGGCAAACCCAAAGGCCCAACTGCTAGGGAAGCTCCTGGACCGGGGGGGGAGGGGGGGGGCGGGGGCGCAGACGCCTGACTGGTCGGTCTACCGGAGCTGCACTTTGTCCCACAGACCCCCACTTGCCTGGGCTGTGTGCCCGCTGTCTTCTGTGTCCCCACCCCCACAACATGGTTGATGCCATTAGTGATGCGAAAGCGATGGACAACGAGGACACCCTGGGCTTAGTTTCTTGGGGGGGGGGGCTAATACCCAGGACACAGTCAGGAACAGCAGGTGCTTAGAGCTAAGCCGCAGCTTCTCAGGCCCTCCCCGTGCGCGCGTAGCCTGGGCCCAGGGCCAGCAGGGCCCGACTTCCTCAGCCCCGTCCCACCAGGCCTCTCCTGCTCTAGGCGCATCAAAAATGAGTGGCCTGACTAACGTCAGCTTTACAGCCACTCCGCTCTGCCAGGCACTCGGGGGCTCCGTCTCATCTCCCACCAACCCAGCGGGCTTCCGGACCAGTGGTAGACACAGGGGCTAGATTACGGCCTCCCTCCCAGCCCGACCCCACCCTGGGGCTCACGAGGTTCGCTCCTCCAGGTTCAGGAAAGTCTGTATGACAAGGGGCAGCTCAGACTTGATGATGTACAGGTAGCTGGACATGGCTGAGGGGAGAGGGGTGGGCAGCGCTGGGTCAGCAGAGCCAGCCAGCCCCAGACATGCCCCCCGCCTGGCTCCGGCCTACGGACCTGCTGGCCTCACCTCCAATGTTCTGCAGTGTGATGGCCAGGGCCGCAGCCAGCTTTCCTGGGGTCCCAAAGGCACGGTAGCCCAGCTGTTCATAGGCACGGATGCCTGTGAGGCGAGAAGTCAGGACTGTTGTCCTCCCGCCACCCCTCCCCAGTCACTGGCGGGGCTGGACACTCACCCACGATCCCTGAGGACTTGAGTAGCAGGTGGATGGAGTAGCTGGAGAGCAGGGCAACGGCCGTCAACAGGAACCTGGGGAAGGTGGGTGAGGAGAGGTACTCCCTGGTTGCAGGGCCATGAGCTCTGGGGGATCTGGGAGTCGGCGAGCCGGGGGCCTGGCCCTCTAGCAGGTGTGGGCTCAGTGGGCCTCAGGGTGGGTCACGACCCAGCAGGGACCCTCTTAACACCCCCTCCCCCTGAGTTCTTGGGACAAACATGTTTTGCACTTGGGCTGCAGGGCGCAGCCCTGGTGAAGGACACGTGTGCCCACACAAGGCCTGGCCATGCGCTGCTCTGTCACGTGGCAAAGCGGTAGAAGGACAGACTCGGGCCTGTTAGCCTGGCCCCTGTGTCGCAATCTCGGTGGGTTTAATGGGAAGTGAGGTCTATTTGTCTGGTCTCGGCTGTTTATTTTAGCTGTGGTTTGGGTTGAGTGTAAGTGCCCACCCACTGCAGCCTGGGCCTCAGGACAGGAAACTGACAGGTCCTGGGAGGTCATGGTTGGTGGCCTGTTGAGGGTTCCTATCTTTAGAAGTTTTGCCGAGGGCGCTCACAGGAAAAGGATGATGCCCGTGTTGGCCATGGCATAGGCGAGCCCCAGGATGCCGCTGCCCATGATGGCGTTGCTGAGGTTAAACACCGACATCCCGAACGACGTCTTCCCCTCGAACTGTGCCACAGTGAGATGGGGAGGGGCGAGAGGAGTCAGCAAGGCATGGGGGGCATCTCAATGTCCCCCCTCACTGCCCCTCAGTCCCCCATAATTGCCCCCGAGTACCTCATTACTGCCCCCAAGCTCCCCCTGTGCTCACGTCAGTGAAGTGTGGCTCCTTGCTGGGACTTTTTTGAAGGAAACCCTCGTCCTCAACGCAGCTCCGGCTGGGGCCCTCGACCCTGTGGGCACAGGCCAGGGAGGGCAGCTCAGTCCCAGCCCTTTGCTCTGTGCCCACCCTGCTGGGTCCTTCACTGGCCCCTCCTCTGCTCACCTTGGGTTGCCTGCCATGGGATTGGCGGGAGGGAGGAGCCCCTCCGAATGTTTGCCGTTGGGCACCAGTTCCACCATCTCTGTCTGCAGGGGTGCCTCCATGGCTCAGGGCCCACCACACACCAGGAGCGCTGGCTCTCACAACAGTCAGAAGTCTGCAGAGTGGACAGTGACCTCGGTTACCCCCACACCCTGAAGGCCCAGCCTCTCACGGGAAACCCGACGTGTAGCACACCCCCGGGAGGGGTTTTCAGGCCTCCCATGTATACTTGGGTCTGCCTGTGGGCTCTGTGGGGCCTGTCTTTGGGAGGCAGAGAGCTTAGACACCTGGATTCTCCAAGCCACCCCGACAGACACCTCAGTCAGTACACAGCACACCTGACCATACCAGCCCAGAAGACCCTGGGAGCCTCAGTAAGAGTCAGCTAGATGACCTGAGGCCAGAGACCAGTGGTTCAGGACCCCAGGACACTGTGTCCCAGGCTGCCAGACCCTACTCTGGGGGTCGGCCCTGGACTGACTCTGTCCCTGACATTAATACTGGGAGACGGTTTCCTGTGCTGGCCTTGTGTGCCAGGGGCCTCCGAGCCAACCTAGAATGGCACTGCCCGACGGCTGGAGGCCTCAGGAGAGAGTGAGGGCTGTGGGCCCTGTTCCCAGCCGCCCGGCGGGCACTGCTGGCAGCCAGAACAAAGGGTCCTCTGTGGGCTGAGAGCTGGCGCTGGGAATGGCAGGCGCAGAGGCTACACCCCCCCACCCCAGCCAGGAGGCCTGAGGCGGTACGGGGTGGCTGGACACCTGGACCCTTCCTGCCTGGCTGCGAAGGGCCCTCGGGGGGCCTTCCAAGAAATCGGTGCTCAGCGCCCAGTTTTCTGGGCCACACAGGCCTCACCCTCCACACAGCCTTGGCTCAGGGTCATATGCTCTTTCAAATCTCTTCTCCCCTGCTAGGGACACTCCCACCCTTAGGTGCCCACCCTCTTGACATGGACCCTTCAGCAAAAGCCCCACTTTCCTAGAGCCTCACTTCATAGGTCATGAGCTGGGGGCTTTGACCAACTAGAGAAAGGCCTGGACCCCTGGATCAGTACGCTTCCTGACCTCTGGCCAAGGCGCTGCTGGACTTCAAAGAAACCAGCTCTCTTCTTCCCATCTCCACCCTGACCCCCGCCCAAACAACTCAGCGGCTCCTCTCCCTTCTCTGGGGTTGGGAGCCATCACGCACACGTCCAGGGGGCACCTTGGCGTAGGCCGCCACAGCTTATTATAAGGACTTCCTCAAGACACCAGGGCCGGCGGGAGAGCTGAGGTCAGAGTGGAGACCAGGGAGAGGCAGCACTGCCCCTAGGCAAAGCCTAGAGACTGAGGTTATGACACCTCCTCTGCTTGGGAACCCCAAATCTTGTCCTGAAGCCCCCATCCCTATTCCAGGTCCTGATGCTTTTGAACCTGGAGCACCAGGTAGCTCCGACTTAGTACTCAGGGCTATGGGTGGGTGGGGGGCTAAGCGCAGGACTCAGGCTCTGACGTCCAGGGGACATAGCCACACAGAGAAAATCCCTGCCCCCCCCCCCCAGGCAGAGTTTGATCCTCGCACTTTGATCCTGGAGGCCCCATTCCCGCCTCTTGCTCTGGTGCTGGCACTGGAACTCCTCCTCCACCTCTGCCCACTCAGGACCAGGACAGAGTGGACCTCTCTTGCCCTCTCTCCCTGGGTCAGCCTGCTCTCATGTCCTTGCCTGCACCTCACCATCAATACCCAGGGATCCCTACTGGGTGTGGAGGTGCTAGAACCTGGTCCCCAGGTCACTCTGAGTGCCCTCAGCACTGAGCTGGTGCTGCTCCTGCGGGCCTCCTGCCCCGGGCAGGCTGGGACAGGCCCTCTGCTTGTGCTGAATCAGCAGCGTGGACAAAGCACCCTCCTCTGCCTAATGTTCTTCCCTAGCAGCCAGGCACTGCCCGGAGGGCGACCACAGTCGTGGCATGGATGCCTGAGTCCCGGTTCCAGGTTCCCTTCCCCGGAGCAGGGCCAGCCACTGCTGGGTCTCAGGATGACCTGAGATCCCAGGGATGTGGAAGACTCTTTCACAAGACTTCCAGTCTGGAGGGGACAAACCCCAAGCAACCCCCTCAGAGCTTCTGTTGTGACTCAAAAGAAGGGAGAAGAGAGAGAGCCTCTAGGAAGGTTTGCCAGAGGAGGGGGTGATGGGGTCAGGGATGAATTCTCATGGAGTTCCCAGGCTCCACTCTGCCTCGAGCAGACAGCAGAGCATGCGCAAAGGCCCGGAGGTACATTATGAGGCAGGCTGGTGCTGAGGTAAAAGGAAGTTTTCATGGTCATAGATAAGCACAGAGCCTTGAAGACCAGGTCTTGGTCTTGAAGACCAAGAGTCTGTATTTTGGTGTCGGGCATAGCTAAGGGCCAGGGGCCCAGAGCAAAGATGAGCCCGGCCCGGCTTGTGGGCCCCCCTGACACTCCTTGGGGCTAGAAGCCCCTTTCTGGCAGTTCTCCCCGCTCAGGCCTGCCACCTCTAGACTCAGGGAGACTCAAGGGATGTACTGTCTGAGGAAGGCTGCCAGCAGACCCTGGCCCACTGTGGGGAAAGCCCAGGCTGAGTCTGAGGCCTGGCCCAGCCCTGCCTCACGGTGTGACCAGGCAGAGTACTACCCACTGATGACCTTAGCTTCCTCCTGTTCTCCAGGGGTCCTGAGAAGTTGGGTCAAAGCTGGGCTGGAGCAAGGAGACTCCTGAGGCCTTTGCCCCCAGAGCAGACCATGAGCTTCTAGAGAAGGGTCGGGGACTGGGGAGGAGAGAGCATTGTGACCTTGGGCAGGTCATCTGAATGGCATCTGTCATGGGTGCAGCTAGGCTTCGGCAGTAAATCGATGGCCCAGGCCACTGCCCTGGGGCCTGTTTGCTCTGCTGAGAGATAAGGGCCAGGAGCCAGGGATAGTGCAGCATGTAGCGCCTGCCCACGCAGGCATCACAGGCTGAGAATTCATCAGGCACACCTCAGCAGGTGTTGAGCTTGGCTAATTAAAGATTTCAAGGCCCAGGAATCCAGGCCATCGTGGGGCCACCGCTTACGTCAGCCGCTGTGGGAAGCACACTGCTCTGTCCTGGGATGGAGGCCCTTGGATCTCTGAACCCTGCTTTCCTCTCCAACGCTCAGGGACACAATTGGGCCTGTGGTAGCGGCCTGGTGCCAGGCATCCATCCAGACTGTCCTTTCCTCAGTCCCAGGGCCACAAGCATATGTGGAGGTACAGAGTCCCCGGAGCTCGCTGTCATGCCCCCTGGCTTCTTGTGCTTGGGAAGCCCTCACCTCAGCCTAGAACTCAGGGGAGAAGCAGCTGTCCTGGACTGAGAGTCCACTGTGACTCTCCCTAGTGTCTCGGGGTGTGGACTGCCCCCAGTTCCCGCTCACCACTCCCCTCCTTAGCTGAGGCAGGGTACTCCTCATTCCTCCTAGCCGGCAGCCCCTTGCCTACATGATTCTCCTGGCTGCTGAGGGGAAAATTCCCTCCCAGGACAAGCTATCTGTCAGTGGGAAAGTTGGATTCAACTGCCACATCTGTATTGTATGTTCTCAAGACACAGTCACAGGAATTGTTAGGGAACTGATTGCTGAGGTTAAAGGTCTAGGGAGAGAGTATGTGGGCAGGTGTTCAGAACAGAAGAGGCACTAAGATATACCCATTGTCCCTCCTCCACAGTCACAACTCCAGATTTTGACTCCGGAAGACCCAAGCCCCCACTGACTGCTCCCTCGATATACACAACACTGGGTACGTGGCTAGTGTACGGCTGTAGTACCTGGCTGGTACTGAGGGGGTGGCAGCCAGGAGGGGCACATCCAGAGAAAAACATCCAGTCTCTCAGACCCTAGCCCTCGCCCTGGGGCCTGGGGTCTGTGTTTCTGTGTTCTGGGCATCCGGAAGCGTCTAGGAGGATCTGAGGAGCCCAGCTGGGGCCGGAAGGTAGACTTTCCTGTGACGGGGTACATTTTCTAGACACCTCACAGATGCTTAGAGTTGGGCCTGAGCCCGCTCAGCCAGCTAGATCTTCCCACCCGTCCCGGGCCCTCCTTGCTCAGGCTGCCCCAGTGGAGGCTGCAGTTGGAAACTCTTGATTCAAGACCCGGCCAGAGCCAGCAGCAGCCCCCTCCCTCCTCTGCCAGCCTGCTGAGACGGACGTGCAGCCCAAGCCCCAGCTGAGCCAAAGGACAGGACATCACGTGCCCGTGGTCCCCCGGGGGCAGGGGAGACCCCGACCAGCCAGCCCATCCTCCTCCCTGCTGGCCCGGAATCCCCTGGAGGCGGCCAAATATTTGGACAGCCGGACTTCTGGCCCAAAGAAAGCGGGAGCAGGGGCCCGGGGCAGCTCAGGACTCACTGGAGACCTTGATGGCGTAGGGGGGCTAAAGAGGTCAGCCTGGACGAGAGGCACCATCTAATGTCCGGGTGAAGCAAGAGGGAAGCTGGGGAGAGCAAACGGCCACACATGGGTGGGTGCAGACTGATCCGGAGACAGACGGCACGGGGAGACCGAGGAACGCAGATGGAGACGGAGCCGTGGAGGGGATACGCAGAGGAAGGGAATAGCTTTTCAGACGGGGAGAGAGACCAACAAGCAGAGAGAGCGGTGAGAGGCACAGCCAAGAAATCGGAGATACCATATGAAGAGACAGGGGCAGCCAGGCAAGAGACAGCCAACAAAAGACAGAGCCCCAGAAGGCGCACAAAGGGGAGACAGGGCCCAGCGGGCGCTGCAGAGATGGCCATGCAGGACCCTGAGGATCCTCCAAGCCGGCTGCCACAGCATTTCCAGGCTATGTTCCCTTTAGCCTGGTGCAGGGACATCCAGAGGGTGGACGGAGTCTACGGAGGCCACAAGGCCATGCCCCTCTGGAAAGCTCAGTCACCCCCTCCCAAACTGGCACCTGCAGTCTGCTACCTGCACGAGAAAGATATATAGAGGTAACGGTCAGTGGAGTGACCCCCATCCTCAGTGGCCAGCACGTGTGCAGACGTGCCGGCTGAGGCTGTGTACAGGACGTGGCCCTGCAGAGCGGAAATTCAAAACCAAGCCACCCCAGGTC